AATTTCTTGTTTCGATGGGAACCTCCAGAAAGGCAGGAGCTGTTCTGGTTCCACTTGCTTTGCCTAGAGCTCCCAGTGGCTTAATGAAGTCTTGCTCTGCTACCAGCCTGCGGTGTTTTGGATTTGTTGGCTTTTTGCTATAGTTTCCTTAACCATTTCTGCAATGGCCCTAACCACATCTAAGCACAAATGTGGAAGAAGAAAGGGAAAGGATAGTTGATTGAGTCTAAGAAAGTTTTCTTTCTTTTCTTTTTAAAAAGGTCTTGAGTGCAGAGGGCAAGCCCATGTTGGAATTGAGCTGTCACGCCACTTGATCTCACAGTTACTGAACTGCTTCTAGGAATTAGGCAAGATAACCCTTGAGGTGTACGTGAGGAGAGTTGCTTAGTCTGTGAAGTAGTGAGGGTGTCAGGACACTGCATGGCTGATCCAATTCCCAAGTCCATGGTGTTCAAATGGCTGAAGCATTTCGAGCAAGTGAAAAATTAGCACATCTGTTCATTGGATCAGTGGAAGGAGCCTACCGAGCTCTGAAACACCATGGCTGATGGGTCTGGTGAATTATTTAGCATTCCAAAAAGCTGGGGTGTTCTCCATGTAGGCTGGTTGGAAAGTTAAGAGTGCCAAGAAATACATGGTACTGTATTTATATTACCTGGAGTTGAAGAACTGTGTAACCCAGTTTCCACTGCTTACGGCAACAGGCTGAAGTCTGAAACCAGGAGTTGAGAGGAACACCTAAGGATGAAGCTCCAGCTCAGATTCCACACATCCAATCAAGCGAGGCTGCCACTGCTTTCTGACCTATAGGTTTACATCTATAAATGTACTCTCAAACACAAGATTCAAATCTTGAAGTAGGTAAATAATTACCTGCTGAGATTGAATGCTTCAGTAGGTTTATAGGCAGAAGAGTCCAAGTAAAAGGGTCTATTAAGTGTATCAGTGGGAACTTGGAGATCAAAGAGAAATGAAGCCAATCTATGGCCTTCTTGAGTGCCAGGCAAGGAAATAGTCCCTGGCAAGACACATAGTCCCTACACACTCCTAAAGCCTTGACAGAGAAAGGAGGAGCCTTCAGGTGGGACCATAAGAATTTGAGCTGTAGTATTTGAGAATAAGCAAGCATTGTTTCCCAGGATGATGGCGACGGTCACCTGGGGGTCTAAGGTGATATGTCCTGGGGTCTCGCTGCTCCCTGATAGACGTCCCAGAGAGACCCAGTCATCAGTGCACCTTCCAGCTGAGGTGGTCAGATAGAGCTGCTGCACCTGCTGTTTCTTGAGCTCTCGTGTTTCCTCCCCCGTCCATTTTAGATAGCTGTCTCTGGGGTCTGAAATAGCTGATGGTAAGGATTTAGTATTCCTTTCCTCCCTACCAATGTGCCTTTGTTCAGAGTCTTCAACTTCTCCTTTTTCTGTCCTCCCTAGGTGCCCAGTGTTCCTCTCTTCTGCTGGCTTCCAGTGGCCTGAGGTCACTTGCTGTGTTATTCCACCAAGACTGTGCCCTCCCCAAGAGAATCCCTCAGTCCTGCTGTTTTAGAGACCTAGAGAGGGCATCCCTTTCTTAGTTGGTGATACCTAAGCTAAATGCAATAAAACCATTCCAGTTAAGGGAGCAGAATGGGGTAGATCAGGGGTTGGCAAACTTTGTAAAGGGTCAGCGAGTAAATATTTTAGCTTTTGCAGGCCACATGGACTTTGTTGCAACAACTCAACTCTGCCGTCCTGGCGCTAAAGCAGCCATACACAGTACATGAATGAATGAGCCTGGCTGTGTTCCAATAAGATGTTATTTAAAAAAACAAAGGATAAGCTGGATTCAGCCTGTGGGGTCATAGTTTGCTGACTTCTCATGTAGAAGAAAGAATACGAGGCACGAATAAAGAACTTGCTCCCCAGTCACAGCCCTGACCTTAACCAGCTAAATGACTTTAGGCAAGTCACCTCACCTCAGCTTTCCCCACCTCTCACTCCTTCCAGAAGGAGTGTGGCATAAAGAAGGTAAAGTGTGAGATTGGCTAGGTGCCTGCCGCCTTCAGTTGTCTTTCTGATCCCTGGCCAACAGTGCAAAGGCCATGGGATTTGTATTGACAATAATGGCTATCATTTTGAGCATCTGCTATGAGATAACATACAACATATATTTTATATCTCTTCTTTCATCTTCACAACTCACCAAAGTAGGTAACATGATCCCTCTTTAATAGATGCGGAAACAGAGATCAGGGGCGCTAAATAATTGGCCCAAGTTACACAATGGGGAGATCACAACGTCAGAATCCAAATCCAGGTCCATCCAACCACACTCAGTTTCCCATACACCATGGGGCTTCCCATGTAGGTTGCTTAGTTTTCAATTCCTTCACCCCTACCAACCATGTCGTAGATGTTTTCTCTAGTACAGTATTCTCTATACAGTTGCTGGAGTGGTCACATTTTATCACTTCCGCGTGAAAATCTGTCCAATGACTTCCCATCACACTTTGGATAAAATAAAGCCACTCCTATTAAGTGAGGAGGATGGTGTAGGCCCAGAGTCCTTACTATGGTTTATGAGGTCCCAGTGATCTGTGCCAGCACACTCCAACATTTCTGCCCTCTCCTCTCTTCTTCATTTACTCTGTTCCGGCCCCAGGCACCTTGCTTTGCCTTAAACATGCCAAGCAGACTCCCACATCAAGATCTTTGTACTCGTGGTTCTCCAGACTGGGATGCTATTCTCACAGTATCAGGATGACTCATTCCCTTACTTGATTGATGCCTCAACTTAAGTGTCACCTCCTCAAGGAGAAATTTCCTGACCACTCTATCCAAAAAAAATACTAGCACCCATCACTCTCTGTGTCCTTACCTTGCTTTAGTTCTCTTTGTAGCAACTATCACACCAGGCAATACATCATGTTTATCTGGTATTTTTCCTCTTCTTATTCTCTCCTGCATTGTGAAGGCAAAGAATTTGTCTTGTTCATTGATACATGGTGCCTGACCTGATAGGCTTTCAATAACTATCTGTGGATTTTTGAGTAAATGAAAGAAAATATTGGAGTGGCTGGCTTACGAGCAGTTGCTCCCCACTCTGAGTGGTGTTTCAAGTCTATCAGCAGTGAGAAGCCTTGTCCCCTAGCCTCTTTGTAGGAAGGATAGCTTGTTTGCCTGTATCAGAACAAATCAGAGTATTACTTTGTCTCATCCTTGGAAAGTACCCAATACAGGAGAGGTGGCACAAAAAAGGGAAAGATTAGTCTCATGACTCTGAATTTCAGAGCTCATCTAGGGCCGAGAGTCTTCCAGCTGCAGATCTCGGAGTCACTTCTTGCTCTACCTCCTCCACTGTCTGTACCATCCTTCTCTGTAGGGGCTGTTCCTGCCCAGACTGCCCATGCCACCTCCACCCCCCAATCCTCTTCTCCCCAGGCTTAAGGGCAGCATGAAGACTTTAGATAAGCACTTTTGGTGGGGAAACACTATTCTCACCCAAACAATGTCACTTGATGGATGAAAAACCAAGGGTCAGAGAACTGAAATAGCTTGGTGGAGGTCCCACTGCTAATGAATGTCACACCCAAGTCTAGAGTCTAAGTCTCCTAATCACAAGACTGGCCCTAGCTCCACACTCCATGCCACAAATGGTAACAGTGATTAGCCAGTAACACCACAGGCTGCTCACTCAAGAATCAATTCAATTCTACAAACATTGATTGAACACGCAAAATGTGGCTGGCCCTGTAATTGGTTAGAATCTGGAGTGCCACAATGAAAATAGTACAGTCTCCGTCCCCAAAGAGTTGACTAGAAGTTTGAACACAGAACAAAAGAGAGAAGATTTTTTTTTTTTGTATGAAATACTGATTAAAAGGTGAATGCAGTAATCAGTTTAACCTCAAAGAGACTCTTAAAGCACCTAATCAGAGCCTCCTCACAGCTATGCTTAGGCCTCCTCACTCTGGATATGAATTTTTAAAAGAAAAAAAGAGAGAGAGTGAGAGGGAGGAAGGAAGGAAAGAAGGAAGGAAGGGAGGGAGGGAGAAAAGAAAGGAAAGGAAAGGAAAATTGAATGGCACTCTGGCTTCTTCCTTTCATCCTTTATCTTCACAAATCTCTGCTTCTTTCAAAGACCTTAAGCTGGAGGGCCACTCTCCAGAAGCCTTTTCAACACAGTTCTCACCTACTGTGAAGTCCTAGTGTGAAATGAAAAGAGCTGAATTATTTCTCCCACTCAGTATCCCCTACCCGGCCCTCAGCCCAGCTCCAACGATAAACTTCTGCATTATTGTAGAAACTTTTGATTACTATTAACTCAGTCAATAACAGACATTCCCTCCATCAACCAAAGGCACATTTGAGGTCTTCTGGACCGACCTGGATCAGTGACAGGGATTCAAAAACCCACACAACCTGCAGGATCAGTAGGGGGACATGCCAATTAGTCCCAACTGTGCCTTGCCCTGGCTCAGCCATTCAGAGAAGACCTCCTTCAAGAAAAGTTCACTCTGGATTTTAGAACAAATCTTTCTTCTCCATCATCATGACAATAAAGTCCAAAAAGAGCGAAAGGGAAAGAGGGAAAGGAGAGAGAGAGGGAGAGGGAGAGAGAAAGAAAGCCAAGGCGAACGTGCATTGGCAGAAATAAGGAGGAGGAACTGACCTTAACACGGAAACAAGCAATTCCTGATTTCTCTGTACTTACATAAGTAAAAAATCTAGGATAAAAGAGAAACCAGAAAACAAGGTAAAAACTTGCCTCTAGAAGCTTCTCCCCTTCCATCCTTCCCCATTGTCCCACCTCCCAAAAGATTAAGACACACTTGACAGTCCCAAACTCCTTGGGATCAAGACTTGCCTGTGTACAGAAACGAAACCAGCTCTCCCGAGCCGGGATGCTCACCAGCTCGCGCCCGAGTTCACTCACCCACTCTCCTCACAGTTTCCTGCCTGTTGCATGCAAAACAATGGTCTCCAAACGCCAATTACTGATATTCAGAACTGTTGTTTTCCTACCCTGGTTAGAGACGACTCCATTAGAGACGGAGGGTAAGCTCTTGAGTTGAAAGAGAATCTGGGGGGTGGAGGGAAACCCTTTCTCGAACCTCCACACGGTTCCCGTTGCCAAGGGAACCCTCTTTGTCCGGGGAGGCTAGGAATGGCCGCCTCTCCCGCGGCCTGGCTCCAGGAGTGGCCAAATCGCTGCACAGGGTCAAGAGCAGAGGGAGGGGAAGGGCCGCACATGCTTCTGACAAAGAAATCGCTTTCAAAGAAGGAAAGAAATGGTGAAAAACATGGTCTTAGGAGGCACCTCCGGGGGAGGGAATAAGTTCATTGACGATGCTGCAATCAGATTTGAGTTGGCTTTTGTGCCCCTGAAAGGAGCGTGATTCAAATCTATATCCCAGAGGAGACAGAGTGGGAAGGACAGAGAGAAGGAGACTGGGGGGGGGGGGGGGGGGAGGGGGCTGGAGGGTAAAAAGGGGGTGTCTCAGGCTCTTTCAGCAGATGCTGAACATTAATCATATAAACAATTATTTAGTTAAGATGCTTAGTTGAAGCTTTGGACTGGATTATTTTGCCTGCTGGACTGGCTGGAGGAGCTCTCTGGCTGTCTCCTAGAAGTCTGGTGGGGCCTGGCTGGGAGATGATAGTATGGTGTGGATGGTCAGGCATGTTCTCCTTTGCCCTACAATTTCAGAAGAAATTCTCTTAGGGACTGTGCCGAAGGAGGCACATTTTGTGCATGCTTCTTTTGAAACCCATTGGTCAAGGGCAGACCAGGTTGAACGGTAGTTGGAGGAGTTTGGATGGACCTGAATTACTAGCCTAGTGCCTGGCACAGTGTGGGTGCTCAATAAAATGTCTGCTGCCTGTTGTTGTCTGCTGTCTGCTGCATGGTTGTTGAAGAGTGACTTGTTTTCAGTGTCTTGGCTTTCCAGCAAGGTAGGAGAATGAATACTGGACAGATGGAGCAGTTGAAGCTGAGAGGATGTGACTTACCTGTGGACCCACGACTGACGGTGGTAGAGGAGAAACATGAGCCCAGAGCCCAGTACCTGTCTAATTGCTTTTTTAAAGTAGAGAACTCAAAGGAAGTCTTTATCCAAGTGTTGCTGTCCAATAGGAGAAAATAGCAAATAAGCAAAGAGAAACAGTAACTGTCACCTCTGTTATCTGGTCTGGGCTAAACATGGAGTGAGGCTGTTCACACTGAGTTACAGTGAAGTACCAAGAAAAATCTATACATGCACACACACACATACATGTACATATACACGTGCACATACATATACATATATTTCCCTGCAAGATGGTAAAATTCTTATATTACTCATCTTCTGCATGTCAGCTCTGGCATCAGTTGCTCCAGGAACTGTCCATCACCATCCCCAAGCTCAGCTTCCAGAGCACTTTTTAAAGATCTTCCATAATACTTATCACACTGCTTTAGCCATTGGTGCCTTGTATATGATCCCAGGGATGGCCCTCTACCAGAACATCATCTCCTTGAGGGAAGACACCATGTGTCACTCCTTTTTAGTCTCTTACACCTGGTAAGATGTCTATTACATAGTAGGTGCATGATATAGACACTCAAGAATTGAAGAGCAATGAGTCCATTTGTGAGTGTTTTATTGAGTTAACTATATTAGGCCCCAGGGAGGATTCAAGAGAAGTTGAAGGTATAGTATCTGCCTGTGAAAAGTGTAAGCTCCATGTAAGATGAAGGACTGGGTCCTTAAATATTACCTAAGTGTATTTGCACTAAGTGTAGCCCAGAGCAATAGAAGCAGTGCATTTACTTAACAGATGAAAAACAGCTCCCTCAGTAGTTTTGTCTGTCAGATTGTGGCTGTAAACTCCTGGGAGCCCTGAGCTGCAAACATGCCCCATTAGGCCTACAGCATTCATGCTCCTTTCTTTTTGTCAAGGCCCTTTTTTTTTTTCAGCCTGTCTCCTCTAAAGAAGCCTTAGTAAAGGACATGTTACCTAGTGGTAGAAGGTGCTGGAAACAGCTCCATCACAATGCTTTCCAGTCTCTGTAATGTGACTTCTCTTTTACAAAAAGACTAATCTAAATGCATCAGAACCCACTATCAAAATACACAAGTTAAAACTGGCGCACAAACACAAAAACAGCATTTTGGACATTCTTATCACTTTGGGATATCTGGGTCCAGGTTTCCCTGTCATTCTCTCTAGGGGACGCTGACAGAGAACATACTTTGCATGATCTACATCATTAACGTCAACCAGAGGAAGATCCCAACCGAAAGGAGCAGAGTCCTGTCCTGACTGCACTGTCCTAACGGAAACAGCAGGATGAAAGTGCTGGGAGCCAAGAAAGTCTCTGCCAAAGAGATAGACTAATGCTTTCAGGGCATCTGAGCGCCACAGATGAAGACTGAGGCCCAGAGTTGCATACTGAGTGAGCAGAGATAGGCCTAGACTCTCAGTCTCGAAACGCCCCCTCACATTTTCCAGAGTACTCTCCTGACCTCAGGTTCCCTCCCCTCCGGTGCACCTGCCATCCTGCCCCAGAGTGATCTCTCCAGGCTGATCATTCCATCTGCTCATGTCACTCTTCAGAGTAAGATGCTGCCACATCTGTCCATTGCCCTCAGATCAAGTCCAGTCTCTCAGGCTTTCTGTGATCTGCCTTTCCCAACTTTGCCTCAGAGACTCCGTTCATTTTCCCAGTGTCTCACCCCCTCTAAAATACTCAAAGAAGTTTTCATTTCACCGCATTCTTTCTCTTGCATTTTCCTCTGCTGAAGTGTGACCCAAGTGATGGCAATGTCACTGATATCACCCCAAATCAACTTTTGAGACCTCTCTGCACATGCCCAGGAGCTATGAGTAAGGCATCATGGAATGAGGGTTTTGGTGGAAGGAGGCTAACCTGGAATTATGTTGTGCTACACTGGAAGGAAGGGGTAATGCCTTGATGCTCAGCATTCACCATGAGGGGCTGTGAATTTTGGGGAGAGAATGTAATTAGGATAAGAAGACATCGAAGAAGGAAGAAGGAATTAAAATTTAGCTGTACCTACCACTCAAGTGCAATCATGCTTTCTATTCACAGACTAACTTCTATCAGAACGAATGGTATTATTGTACATTGGGGTCTTGAAATTAAATGCCTGGAGGGGCCAGATAAGTGAGGTAAATGAGGTCAGTGGGCCTTGTATCAGGCACTAGGGAGTGATGGAAACTGTGGCAAAATAGAGACAAAATGCTATATGTAAAGGGAGCAGTAGTAACTCAGCTTCAGCTGCTTACTGACATGTGGCATTGTAGCCTAGGACTGTCAGAGCTTTTTACTTTTTAAAGAGAAGTTGGAAATATGGAAACGTGTGAAATTTCCTAATTTAAAAATATTGGTTCAAAATGTTAACAAGCATTACATATAGGACAAACAAAATATATTGGTGAGCCATATCTAGGTCATGGGATGCCACTTTGTAACCTCTGCCTTATGTGGAACTTTCCAGAATTTGAGCGTAGGCATCTGCAGGCAGGGGTATATAGCTGTCATCAATAATCCAGATGACAAAACTTATGTAAAAACATCCACAGGGTCACAGGGCAGAGCCATAAATGATATCAGTGTGTTACTCAGAGAAAGAGAAGGTGCGCCAGTGATTGGATATAAAAGAAGAGAAAGCAAGATAATGGAAGACCTAACTCCTCAGGAGATGTGGTTTATTTGAAGCGGCTGGAGATGGGATTGATCTGTGCTCCCATCCAACTCAGAGCTGGACAGCTCCAGAGGCAATCCTCTGCAATCTTCCTATAGCGCAGGGAGGCTGGGCTTGTGGAGTACGGGAAAGTGGGGGGGGGGGGGGGGGGGGGGGGGGGGGGGGGTTTGTCACCATGGCGAATAGGATGCCGTGCCAGGTGTAGACACATGCATGACTCAGCACAGGTTCTTTTTCTCGCTAGTCTCAAGCATGCTTTCCCCAGCTCTTAGCCAGCATAAACTCAAGGCTTTGCATCTGGGGAGAGGCTGTCAATGGTGAAATCTTCCTTCTCTGAGGAAAATCTTTCTTCACCCATGACCACCTGTAGAGGTTCTGCTGTGACTGCACGTGGCCCAACTGTTCACAATGGCTGCCCTGCCTCTAGTCCTCTCTACTTAACCCTGAGGGGGAAACCACACCTGCCTCTTGAATCCCTTTCTATCATCACCAATCTCCTTCTTTCTCATGGTTATGATACTGTGACTATACCTTCTGAGAATTTGCCTTCTTGTTCCTTTCAGTTCTTCCCTTCCCTTTGGTTATGACTCAAATCGCACCAATTATTTTTCTTCAAAGTCTACTGGTCCTAAGACACCATTTCACATTTCTACAGCCACCACCCTTATCCAGGTGCTCAACATTCTGAACTCCTATTGCTATTCATGGCCTCCGAAGAAGGTTTTTCTTGCTTCCAGTCTCTCCCCACCTGCCCCAAGCACCATTTTCATCATGTCATCCCCTTCCCTATGATTTATTATCTTAAATTAAAATACACAAACATGACCTTACAAGACTTTTCTTCCCCACTGCCTCCATGTAGAGCCTATCCAGTTACCTTCAGGCAACGGAAAGAGAATGAAGTTTGGAATCACGCAGACCCAAGTTCACATCCTGGCTTTGCCATTTGCTCTCTGTGTGCTCTGAACAAATTATATAACCTCTCTTGGCTTCAGTTACCTCATCTTAAAATTGGGATAAATAATACCTACCATGCACAGTTGTTGAGAGAATTATATAAGCTAATTAATGTAGGCTATCTCATTGTAAGTACTCAAAAAATGGCAGTGGTCATTAATATTACTTCCTGCAAATGTAGCATGAGAGGGGGAAAATAAGAGGGTGTTTGCATCTGTCAGCAACATGACAGATATGTCAAAAGAATGTGAAGCAAACTAAATAAATTATGGGAATTTGTACCATCCAATGTGTTCTGCTATAGTGCAAAGAAAATTTTAAAAAATTATCAAGAGAGAAAATGAAAACCTATTGCTACTAAGTTTCAGCAGTTTTGTCCCCTGAACATTTTAGCTGTGTTACCTATGTTCTCCAACACAGATATGTGGCTTCAATCAAGGAGAGTCCCTGCAGATCCCCTGTCAACAACTGAATCATGTGCAACCTTCCGGATTTCACATGCGGCATGAACTGTGGTCACCGTCCACCTTCTCAGCAGTATTAAGTGAGATGGAGTGGAGACACGTATGTCATCTGAGGTCAAACAAACCTGAATGTGAATTCTGACTCCATCAAGGTCCTAGCTTTGGGACTGTGAGCAGGATACCCTATCTCTCCAAGCCTTAGCCTGTTACCTGTAAAATCAGGAGGGTGGTGCTATCAGTGTAGGGAGCATTAGATTAATGGTTCTTCCAAAGGG